CCATAGTTCTCAGTGTCCTTATTCCAGTGTCTTTACTGCACACTTAGCTAAAAGGCTGAGAATCTATACAAGACATCCAGTGAGGAAAGGCAATTGACCTTCCTGGTCTCCATGCAGTTATTCCTCCCTGTAGGTAGGTGGCTGGGGAGTAACATCTCTCCCTTTTGGTTTTCTAGAATAGAATGGAATCTAATACCTGGTATTTTTGGCCACTGTGTGACAGAGTGTTGGACTGGATAGGCCATTGGCCTGATCCAACATTGGCTTCTCTTATGTTCTTAATCTGGTAATGAAAGAATAGGCCAGTTTGGTGTAGTGGTTACGTGCGCGGATTCTAATCTGGGAGAACTGGGTTTGATTCCCCACTCCCCCACTTGCACCTGCTGGATGACCTTGGGCAAGCCATAGTTCTGATAAGAGCTGTCCTTGAAAAAGAGCAGTTTCTGTCAGAGCTCTCTCAGCCCCACTTACCTCACAAGGGTGTCTGTTGTGGGGAGGGGAAGGGAAAGGAGTTTGTAAGCCGCTCTGAGACACCTTTGGGTAGTGAAGTGCGGGGTATAAATCCAATCTCCTCCTTCTCCCCCTCCTCCTCTTCTCCCCCCCCCCAAATCCTGATGTTTAGAGCAAAGAGCTAGATGGAAGAAAGCTAGGGGACAAGAGAAGCAAAATTCAAAAATTTAAGAATGGGGAGGGAGAAATATTATAGAGAAGGATTTCAAGTACAAGTTGATAAAGTAAGGAGTTTTAATTTTAAAGGCTGAAATAATTAAGAAAATGATAGAGGATGCTCACTGGTTCTAGGAAGCACCTGCTATATTACTTTTGGCCATGTTAGGAAGCTGTAAAATGCCGTGTCTGCTGCAGTCAAGATCCTTCATTCTCACATGTAAGTTTTTGCCTGTCTTACTCCCTTGGGCCATTGGAGAGGGCAGCTCAGTAGTATATCTGAGTGAAGACTTGAAACAGGAGGGCAGAGCATGTGGCTTACTCCTTGTGATGGGTCTCTCTTTGCTTCTCTGCTAAGTTCCCATTCTTCGAAACCCATTTGTACTGTCTGTTTTGCCTTAACCTCAACCAAGTTCAACAACTATATTTCTTTTTTCACCCAGACTGTAAGCTAAGGCTGTGCTATTTGAGGATACCCAGGCTGGTTATCTAAAGAAGCAGTGAAATAAACAGGGGGGTGGGGGTGGGAAGGAGTAGAGATTGCAAACAAAGATGATAGCTAGAATGCCTAAGTGTAAATATTTTGGTCCTTTCTGTGGATATCTATATTGATGATTCAGTTGTTTTTTTACCATGTTCCCCACTTCTCCAGTTGCTTAATACTGGTAATTGTGCCTTAGAGAACCTCTTGTTGTGTTTGGGTTGTTCAGAAGTTTCCATGACCTTCTGATTTTCTTTAGACTTGGCAGCATTTCACAAAAACGTGATGATGTTCTGGTTTTAAGTGCATTATTTCTTTCTTGGAAAAGCCATCCACAGTGCTTTGAATCATCTTTCTTAGCTAAATGGTGGTGGTTTAGTATTGTTGATGGGTTCTTTGTTACCAGCATACACAACAGCACGTATCCAGTGAACTCTGAACTGTCAGATGTTGGCATACTGCTGTTTTGTGGTAGCAGATGTGTTTAGATTGAGGCAGAAGGTGTCCAGTTTTTTTCGAACCACTAAATTGCTCGCTGATCCTAATCTTTAACCGAAAATTTGAGATTTGATTTAAATAGAAACTCTCCTTTAGCATATTTCCAATACAGGACCTCAACAACTGTTAGGCACAATCTTGTGTATTTAACTCTCCCACAGTACAAAGCACTCTAGCACTTAACCTTCCAGCCTTCTGCTGTGCAAATTTCTACCTGCTTTTTTGAATTCCCAAAACATTTCCAAGATGTAGATATGTCAAGGGGAAAAGAAGAAGAGAGTCGAGGGCAGCACTTTTTGTCTTCCTTTGGGTACAGTTCTGGCACTTAAAAAATGTCTTGGTAAGCATCTTTCTAATTTATGTTGCCATGTACATAAAAATAGTATACATTCCCAGGAAATGTTTATTATTTTATTTTGTTGTTTATAATTTGCCTTTCTCACTAAAGTATAAATCAATACACTCAACAGGATGGCCTATCCAGTAAGCAGTGTAATAGGATTAGGAAACAAAGCATAAGTATTCATGTGATGACATATTAAAAGATGCCGAAATTACAAAGTGGGATAATATCTGCTGCAACAGATTCCTTTATTTCATTTTGAATCCCTTCAACCATAGGTTGGTGGGATTATGGATAAAATGAAAATGGAGCAAATCAATAAAACAATAAATACTAAGATCATTTAAAAACACATGCAAGAAATCTAGCAACAGCTTCCAGCCAGCCGACATCATTTGAAAACAACAGTTTCAGAATAATATGATTACTAGAGAACTGAATGTCAGAGTTGACAAGAGATTCCAGTATATCACACCTAGCTTTAATAAACAAAGGACAATGTAACAGCACATGTGAGATGGTTTCTATCGCTTCAGATGCACAAGAGACAATTTCTTTCAATCCAGGGAATACCTTTAAGCCTTCCTGTGTATTCAGGAGCAAGTTACATCTTGCCAAAAGAATTACTGAAACAGATATTACATACTATACACATAGCCCACAGTCCCTTAAAGCACCTTTATGAACCCAGTACTTTTGAACCCTAAATTTATATTGTGTATTTATATTTTATATTGTAACGGCCAATGGCCATATACAATAAACTTACTACTGCTACTGCTACTACCACCACCACCACCTTCATGAACCATTCAATTATAATAAATCCCTATTAGGTAAAGGTAAAGGTTCACTTGCTCAAAAGCCAGTCAAATCCGACTCTAGGGTTGCGGTGCTCATCTCCATTTCAAAGCTGAAGAGCCAGCGCTGTCCGAAGACATTTCCGTGGTCATGTGGCCGGCATGCCTAAACACCAAGGCGCACGGAATGCTGTTACCTTCCCACTGAAGTGGTACCTATTTATCTACTTGCAATTTCTTGCTTTCGAACTGCTAGGTTGGCAGGAGCTGGAACTAGAGACGGGAGCTCACTCTGTCATGAGGCAACTCGGGTCTCGAACTGCTGAACTACCGACCTTCCACAGCCTGCAGTTCAGCACTCCTGGATAATTCAGTTTTGCATAGCTTCTGGAATGCCCAGAGAATGGGAATCTTGCTGGCCTCATCAGGCAGGCCATTCCACAAGGTGAGGGCCACAACAGAGAAATCATGTGTACAGACATTTGTTGATCTTGCCCATTTGCAGGGTGATACCCTGCAGAAGGCCCTGCTCAGATGGTCAAGTAGTCTGCAAAAGCTGTCTTTTACCAGCTCTTTCAGTTGAAAAGAGTGAGAGAGTTTCGTTAACGGGCTTTTTTGTTGTGTACTGTTTTGTTTTGTTATACAGAGTCACTTTTTATGCCCACGACTTAACAAGGCAGAAGAACTATATTTAAGGCAAGGATATGTACATTGAATTTTAGGCTGCATGCAGAGGGAAAAAATGTGTGTGAAGTGGTCTTTTGCCAAGCTCGCACACTTGCCTCAGTGGAACACTGACTCCAGTTAACTTACGTTGTGTGAATGCAGCAGCACAAGTTGATCAGAGTTAGTTTTCTACTACCTAATCAGGATTCTATACCTGGGTTAAAATGCTGGTTTTAGGATTCCATGGGTATGTGGGGGGAAATACCGTACATTTTTATCTTGAATAATGAGCCTTAATTTTGAAATTATTGTTAATTTCTGGTTCACCTTTTCTAATCACTTTTATTTACTTTTTTCCTCTTCCGTTTGGTTATGTGATTAACATTAATGGGATAAATCTCTTTCAGAGTCTGTCAGCAACAATTCAAGGTAGCTACGTGGGAGTATGCACACCCTACCTTTATAAAAATATTAAATATATGAAACAAATAATAGGGGTGTAGATCAGATGGCTGGAATATTCACACGTACACACACACACACACACACACACACACTCCTCAGCAATGTGGATGTAAGAACAGAAACTTGTTTAATCGCTGAAGGGGTGAAGCCTAAAACGAATCCCTAGTAAAATGTATTTATTTATTGAAATATTTATATCCTCCCTTTCCTTGTGGCTTACGAGTCACAATCAAAGCATTACAGTTTAAAACTAATGGAATAAAGCTTAATCCATCTCTTGTTATAAAAATCACTTGTCAAGTGAAAAATAACAGAATTGCTATCTCTGTGAGGCAAAGTGCACATAGTTCATTTATTTTATTTCCTTCATTTATACCCCAAGTTTCTCCCCAATGGGGAAGCCAAAATGGACAGCTGTAGTCTCCTCTCCTCCATTTTATCATCACCACAATCCTATGAGGTAGGTTATGCTGAGAGTGCATAACCAGACCAAGTGTATCCAGTGAGCTTCCATTGGCCGAGTGGGGATTCAAACCTGAGTCTCCCAGGTCCTAGCCCAACACTCTGACTACTATACCACACTGAAAACACTGACCCATGTATGGTTTGGGATGATAGGAAACTGGGCTTTGATTCAGACCCTGTGTTTAGTTTGTCATTGCTTCAGGGGTAACTTAATATTTGGATGCTACATCTTCAGGTAACTTGTGTGAAAGATTCTTCCTGCATTTAAATCTAATCATTTAAAAACATTCCATTAACCATGGCTACATATTAGCCCTGACTCGGATAGACCAGGCTAGCCTGATCTTATCAGATCTCGGAAACTAAGTAGGCTTGGCCCTGGCTAGCGTTTGGATGGGAGCACCACCAAGGAATACCAGGGTCATAACGTGGAGGCAGGCATTGGCAAACCATGTCTCTTGCCTTGAAAAACCCTTATGGGTTTGCCATAAGTCAGCTGTCACTTGACGGCAAAATGCACACACATTCGTATTTTTTCTGATCACTGCACTAATTTGTTTTTTATAGGAGCTGTAGATGAAATTCTGATTGTTTAATGTATCTTTCTGTTTCCCAGAGAATGCCCCAGAAGCAGACCTGTGGCTACTGAACAGCTGCACTGTAAAGAACCCAGCAGAAGACCACTTTAGAAACTCCATTAAGTAAGTTGCTGTCACTTTGTGAAGAAATGAGATTGTGTTTGTAAAGGGGGGGGAGGAAATCTGTATTTGAAAGATGCCCATTGTAATCCAAAAATAACCCACCCTTTGCAAAACAGGATGAGTATATATAGGAAACAGAGAAGACCTATTGATGGTGATTGCCTGAATTATAGAAAATAATCTGTAGATTGTAAAGGTGACCTCCTGATGGCACTGGTATTTCTGGCCACCGTGTGATACAGAGTGTTGGACTGGATGGGCCTTTGGCCTGATCCAACATTGGCATCTCTTATGTTCTTATGTTCTTATGTATATCAAATCCTTCAAACCCTCTGTCTTCTTTTTCTTTGTATTTTTATATATTTTAAATATGTGTGTGAATGTGTGCACACCTGGAAGTCATGGTGACCTCTGGCGACTGACCCCTACTGTGGGCCTGGAGGATATTCTGCTATTCCAAGGAGGTCTCTCATCCTAGTACTTGCCAGCGTCGGCCCTGCTTAGCTTCCGATATTGGGCGTGCCTGGGCTGTCCAGGTCAGGGCTAAACCCACTGTCTTGAAGAACATGTTGTGATTTCTCTTCTTTATTCCTATACTGTAACCTAACACACTATTCTTTCTCCATAAAGTTGAGAATGGCTGAAAATTTTATTTTCTAGATGGCCTCTCATTGGGGCTGCTTGTTGGGATAGCTCAGTATACTTCGGCATCATATCTGTTTCACATAATTCCTTTTTAGCAGGTGGATAGCGATAGACTGGCCCGTGTGCATGTTAGTGCCAGTAGCACTAATGCAATGTTTCTTGGGTTTCAGACAAATTATTAACAAATGTATTAAAATACCTGTATCTGCCTGGGACCCTAGAGAGTGTCTGTCAGTTTAGGTAAATAATACTGAGCTAGGTGGATCAGTGGCCTGACCTGGTTTAAGGCAGCTTTATGCAAATATGCATCTTTTGTTACGCGAATTAAAAATGGATTGATTTTTAAAAAAAAAGAAAAACTGTCATCATAAGCTATCTGCAAGTTGATTGCTCAGAGTACAGCAAATAAACACCTGAGAGGAGAAGCAGTTGTGCCAGAATAGGTCAGTGGAGGGCGCCCTTGCATCACATCTAGAACTAGGTCCAGCTTGGCCCACTGGTTCCTTGGACACCAGCTGCCATCTCTGACCTGAGAAAGCAAAGCAGCAGCTGGCCGCTCTTTTCTCTCTCTCTCTCTCTCTCTCTCTCTCTCTCTCTCTCTCTCTTTCCTTCTCTCTCTCTCTCTCTCTCTCTCTCTCTCTCCTCAGTTCTCAGATGCCATAAGTGAGGCCAGAGGAAGTGAACTGCTTGGCAGTCTTCCCTTATTTCTGCACCCTGACCTTGCTGAGGGCCCCTTCCTTAGTGGAAGGAGCTGTGCCCTTTCTTCTTCCCTTTCTTGCCATTCTGATCCTTTCTGCAAGAGCAGTGGGTGGAACTAGGAGCTTTCTTGTAAAAGGTAGACTTTCACTTCAGCAATAGCAACAAAAGCCACCGTCTGTGGCTTAAACTGAATTAATCACATAATTGCTGCAATGCCACCCCTAACTGTCCAAAAATTAATTTTATCTGTGCTACGCTTACCACAGTCGCTATGATAACTGCTTCTAATGCTGATATATATATAAAAAAAAGACTACAGGGCAACACAATATAATTCTGATAGAGGATTATCTCATCAGCAAATAGATCAGGTAGAAGCATAATTCTCACTGTGTCTGTAACGTAACCTTAAATATATTGCCTGTTGTTAAGGTGAGATTGTTACCCAACAATCACATGGAAGTTTATGCAACCAATTGTTTAGTGCGGTGTGCAGACGGGTGTCTGTTGAAAGTAAGCATAAGCCATGCTTACAATTCTAGTTAGGCAGCTGGTCCACTTGGAAGAATAAGACCGCCAAAGCTTGGAGGGAGAGCTGGATTGAACTGGTGTGCTGTAGCTAGTGGAGGGGGGATGGCAGGTTTCTCCTCTCCCAGGCATTGTGTGCCCATTGTAGGCAGAAGTACCTGCAGCCTGGCAATGAGTTAGCTCTTCTCTTGCCAAGAAAAACCTGGTTTCCTAAACACCAGCTGTTAGCGTACTGTTAAGTGTGCTGAGTTGGGCAGCCAGTTATCCTTGTCATGAAACCCTCACCCCCTTTGGGCTGCAGCTGTTACAAGTCCTTTTACAATAGTGGGTGCGTGCTTGGAGCAGAAGGGTGCTTACCGAAAACGAATGATCAGGAATATTCCTTCGTCTTCTCAACTGCTTTGTCTGCCTTCCACAATGCGACTGAACCTGAACTAGGTTGTGACGGAAACTTTTCTGCCCCACAGAACTGTTCAGTGGCCTGGTCATTGGGGTATCAGGGAGCCACAGACAGCATTCTGTCTCTGGGGAAATGGGATTTATTATGAGGCTAAGTGGGGCAGATATTCCTGAACAATTTAATATCCAGATTAATTTAAGGGTAATTTTAATTCCAAGTTGATAGAACTGATATTTCACCATATATGAAACACCACTGGTTTTCCCATTCCAAGGACTGTAATTCTCCCCTCCCCCACTTCTGGTGATATGTTCTGCAGCAGTGGTCTAGAACACATGAAGCTACCTTATATTAAGCCAGACTATTGGTCTAGCAAGGTCAGTATTATCCACGCAGACCAACAGTAGCTCTCCAAAGTCTCAGGTAGCAGTCTTCCACATCACCTACTACTGGATCCATTGAACTGGGAATGTCAGAGAGTGAACATGGGATTTTCTGAAGCCAAAGCATGTGCTCTTCCAGTGAGGCATGACTCCACCCCAACCTTTTCTGACCTGGGGCCCACCCTGCAAGGAACCTACTGAGGTCCAAACCACGTGACAGAAAACCATGTGACATCAGGGCTATGTGACAGGAAGACAAAGATCCAAAACTGTTACGTCAGTTTTTGTCATTATTTTTGGACTACTTTATTATTTTCCTGTGCTCATTGTTGTAAGCCACCTCACAGATATTTAAATGGGGGAGCTGATATAACTATCAGTCACAACATGGAAACCAATGTTTGGAAGATTAGACTTAGCTCTCTGAGGATGCTTCTTGCACACATCAGATTCCTGTTTTGATCATATCAAAGGGGACAGTGAGTCAGTATCCCCATCTCCGGTTATACCGGTTATATAGCTGAGTGGCTTGGATTTGAAATGTAATTAATACCATTTTGTTAATAATTCGGTATCCACCCCAGTAGCACTTCCTGTACTCTCTTGCAAGTCCTTATCTCCTCCTTCCATGTCCCTTCACTTACAAACTATATTCAGGGTGCAGAAAGGAATAGGATTACAGTTTCCACTTTAATATTTGGCACCAGATTTTCTAGTCAGTGGAGCATTTCCAGGGGAAAAAGCAACATTCCAAAATGAAGCATCTTGACTGGCGTGGTTGTAACTAGTAGTATTCTTTGAATGCCTATCTATGCAGCCACACAACATGCTTTTCTACATCTCTGTTGGTGTTCTCCCCTAGTAGTCTGCTACTTCCATGCCTTGGCAGAAGGAATTAAGTGGGAAAGCAATTGCCAAACCCTTTGGGGCACACACGGGTACTATTGGGCAAGGGCAACAGGAGTACCAGCACCCTGGTTAGAACTCTAGATATTCAGTGAAGACAAAGAATGCAGTTGTATGAATGCATACTTGAACACTTGGAAGCTGTTTGAGATTTTTGGATATAGACAAATATCTCCTTTTAATGAACTCTGCAGCAAACATTTCCTAATATGTCTAACAACCAAATTATATGAAAATGTTAGGGACAACTTTGTCATTCATATAGATTGAGGTCAAATTGTGTAACCTCTTTTATCCTTTCACAGGAAAAGTAAGCTTTATATCTGTTTTTAATAATGTAATTAGCAACTTCAAAAGGTAGGGTTAGAATGGATTTGCAGGGGGTTGGACTAGATGACCCTTGATGTCCCTTCCAGCTCTCTGTTTTTATGAACAGGATCCAAATATCTTACTGTTTCGAGCAAGAACTCATCTGCACAAGGAATACTGTGGTGAACTTGGACTTTAAAGTTTTGTACACTGATGTCTACATACTCTGTTAAATCAGATTTATAAAGAGGTTAGGAATAAGGCCCGTTGTGGAAATAAATACAAAGAGTTTTAGAAAGAGGTTCTGGGAGAGTGCCAAGGCCTTGGGTACTCAGTGTCAATTTGCTGTGGTGACCTCCTCAAACCCCACCCTCTCCAGGCTCCACCCCTGAAATCCCCAAGAATTTCCCAACCTGGAGTTGGCAACACCATCCCCTTCCCAGCTAACCATCAACCTGCCATTATTTGCCCCTCTGACTGCAGCTGACTTCTGCCCTCCCTCCCGGAGATCAGTTGTAATTCTAAGTGATCTCCACCCCTCACCTGGAGATTGGCAACAATGGTTCCCTAGGAGAAAATGGCTGGTTTGGAGGGTGGAGTCTATGGCATTGTACCTGTCTGAGGTGCCACCCCTCCTCAAACCTCACCCTCTCCAGGTTCCATCCCTCAAATCTCTAGGAATGTCCCACCTGGAGTTGGCAACCCTATCTCCTTCCCAGCCAAGCATCAACCTGCTGTTATTTCCCCCTCACTCTTCAGCTTTCCTTCCCCCCCTGCACGTGTAGCCTCCACTGTGCTCTGAAGCTCTGACTGCCACATCATATTGGCTGTCATGGGGGGGCATCTCAGCAGGGTATAAGGACACAGAGTCCACAATTTTCTCCTGGGGAACTGATCTCTGCCATCTAAAAAGCAGTTGTTATTCTGATTGATCTCTAGCTCTCACCTGGAGATTGGCAACAGCGGTTTCCCAGGAGGAAAAGTAGTCTTTCTCTGCAATGGGGACCAAAGCAGCTTACATCATTCTACAGTTCCCCTTTTGACTTGCACAACAACCCTGTGAGGTACGTTAGGCTGAAAGTCTGTGACTGGTCCAAAATAACCCACTCAGCTTCTACAGCAAGAACCTG